TAGCATTCAAACAGAAAAAGAAGTCTTCATCTGTTCTTCCATTCAGTTGGGTCTTTCCAAAGCCTTGAAGGGAACAGCCTACTAGGTGCCCCAGGGTCAGAAATAGTTGTTTCTTGTTTAATAGAACATAGATTTGAAAATCCTAGGCAGGCATACAACATTTATTTAAAATTCAATGGCCAACTGGTGCCAGTTTTGCCTACAGAGACTTTGTTCTGAAAAATCTTCTGTTGATCATATCCTAAATCATATCATAGTAAGGATTTGGGGGCAATAGTATAGTAATAGTACAGTATTAAATAGAACTCCGTTTGAGAAGCAAAAAGGACAAGTTATGTAGAAGAGTAACTTTCCCTAAAGGCAGCTTGTCTCTCTCCTGCAAACTGCATTTCTTGAAATGCACTCATCTTCCACTCTAAAAATTGAGTGATACGTTGGAAGTACATTTTTGGAAGCCAACCAAAGTCTTTTTAATTAATTAAATATGGAAAGAGGAACATTTAAAGAAGCAGTTGAACAGCCCTCTGAAAAAGCGGTCACATCTTTGTCTACTGCAGAGGTGAGGTATAAAAACTAATTTTTTTCCCCCCTTTTCCTTTACAGGCATTAGTTTTCTTGTAGTTTAGACAACTGTGGAGATTTAATTAATAAATAACTTGATTCGTGGCTAAAACCACCTGAATGCAATGGAACACTATTTATTTAGAAAATGTATATGCCACCCCCTCCTTTAATGGTTCTCGGCAGCGTGCAAGTTTCCAAAGGAGACAGCTGTGTTAATCCTTTAGGGTACGTGCGTGTATCTCTCTCTCTTTCTCTCTCGCTGTGTGTGTGTATACATGTACATATACATCTCCAGCAGAGATGCTTATAAAATAGTTATTCTAAGCAACAACTTGACTTGAGTCATCATTCTTAGTGTCAGAGAGAGGTTTTTTTCTCCAGTTTATATACCTGGGACTTTTTTTTTAATGTGCCTCTTAACTCCAGTCTTCTCCACTGTCTGGATTCTCTGAGTTTAGGGCCAAGGCACGAACTCAGCAGTGTGTCAGGCATGGCCTCTAGCATGTAAATGTTTTCCAAATCATTCTCTGCACTGATCTTGTCAGACGATGCTCAAACGATTGTATAAGCCACAATGGAAAGTTAAATATTTGATGTCGCAGACCTTGATGTCTCGAATGAATAATCTGGTTGGGCATTGAAAAGAAGAGATGATAAATGGTTACAATTAGCTTTTAGGCATATATGCCTCTATTCTTCAGCAAGCCCATATGCAAACATATATGAATTGCTTTTGCTGACAAAGGAAATTGTCATTCATGTTCCAACTTCCAGGATCAAACAGGGCAAATTGATTCATGTGCTTGTTTCATAACTCATTGGACTGAAGGTGTTCTGTGCCACCAAAGTACCAAACATCTGTTTGCCCATATAACTGTGAGTAGTTACAAATGAATCCCCTCTGCTGAATTCCTTGCTAACATGAGCTTAAAAGGTAGATGTTGGGATAGAAAGTAGAGATACTTTCATTTATTTTTCATTGATTAATAACAATTTCAGCTTTGCAGGTGTGTGTATTTCAGTAGTGGAGAGGCCCAAATAAGAAGGAAGTGATTGTATTCTCCCTTTTGCATAGTGTGCTGGGATGCACATCATCTCAAAAAGTTGGATGCTAAGAGCAAGGTACGCGCCTCAGAGGAGCCTTAGGAGATGAATCAGATCCGTATGACTCAAATGTCTCCAGTGGCAATTGGCTTTCAAAATTCCCACACTAGAGCTGCCGAGGAGCAGTTCAGAAGCTGCAGGTTTGGAATCAAGGCTCCTGTGCCTGATTTAGAGAGTGTAATTATAGCACTGCCAAACCCAGAGAGTGCAGATGTGTGAAGGTTCAAAGTGAGTAGATAGGCAGGAAATTTAGAGACTAACAGATCTACTGAGGACCTGTTTGAAAGTAATCCCATCTGTTAGGAAGCCTCTGAGGAGTTGCAACTGGGTCTGGGTAGCACAAAATTCTTCAGTGTCCATTAGATCAGTCTTGGAACCACATGTACCATTAGATTTTGCTGATCTCTGCTTGCACTTTGCTGCCCATCTCCTAACTTTTGAGCCCTTTCATGCCTGAACACTTGGACTGTACTTCTTTGTCAGCATCTGTTAGTGTCCTTCACTGCTGATATTTGATTGTCTCCTGGTGCCACCTTTGACTTATTATTTGCCTCTGTGAAATGACCTGTGGACAGTTTTGCTGGTATTGCCTTTCTGTTTGCTAGTCTGAACAGTCTAGAACAGTCTAGAACAGTCTAGAACACCATTGGGTTTGCCCCACAAACTAGCTGATGATGTTCCAGTGCAGTGTGCTGTGAAAACGTATCCACCCTGTATTCTGTCTTTCCAACTTAAGCATCCTCCAGGTGTGAGGACTTCAATTCCCAGAATTCTCTGCAATTGCCATATAGCCAAGGGAATACTGGGAGCAGAAGGCCATGCATTTTGAGGGCAACCAGAATGGGAAAGACTAGCTTATGTACACAGTACCAGTCTCAACCCATGCCATTTGAGCTAGAACAGCTTTTACTGAGAATACCTGACAGTCACTTTGAAGCTGAAGGCAGCACTGGACTCCATTGACCAGAAAAGGGTGAAGGAGGCCTGTAGCCAAATTTAGTTGAATGTGCTTAGAAGCGTCTGAGAAAGCTGGAATCTTGAATGAACAGCTAGTGGGCATAAATATGAGGTCTCTGTTGACATTAACACTGGGGGTCAGGAGGAAGTATAACGGGGGGTGAGGGGACTGGACAATCCCCCAGTAGTATGTCAAATGTATTTGAGACCAGTAGATCAGACATTCTGTTCCATGTGCAGAATTATGAATCCTTTCTAAACAGCCAGTTGTTTTTTCCCCTCTCTCTCTCCTCCACATTTGTCAACACATTTAATCACTTTCCCAGTTGCAAAATTCATTAAAACAGAGAACTTGTGCATCTGTTTTATATTTAGCTGTGATTATTTCCCCCACTTTACTCTTCCAGACTTCATATCATATTTAAAAGTAGATTTTAAAAGAGAGGAAGAAACATCAATAGTGAGATAAGGTCATTGTATTACCTAAGTAAATTGCATGTCCTCTCTGTGTTCAAAGGATGAAAACAAGCAGGAAAACTTTTTTTTCTTTTTCTTTTTTAAAAATGTATGTTTTATGTTTATTTTTTATGTAGCAAAAGCAGCTGTGACAACAAAAACTGGTATTTTCAAGCCAAAGCTCATTGTATGAATCTGCAATTAATGAGTTAGGTGTTTGCATTACAAACTGATGTTCCTGCGTAGTTTATCCCTAATTCCTATGGTTAAAATGCAAAATCTTTAAAAGTGACAAGCTGGAAACAATCAGCATTCTGTTCCCACACTGGCTAATATATTCCTATGGAGAGATAAGTATGATAGAACTTTTTCCAACATATTCCCCAATAATTGCTATTTAGAGTTATAGTACCTTTAACATGAGGGGTAATAAATCTGCTTCATAACTAGTATCAAGGTTGGATGAAGCCTAGACTTAAATGTTTATTTGAAAACCACTTGATAGAATAATTTCTTCATGTGGAATCACCAGTCTGATCTGATGCACGAGATCAAGTGGGGTGACTGGAACTGATTGAAGAACGTGATAGCCTTTTTCACGTGCGCACACGTTGTTTCTTGAATCAGATCAACAATATAAATCTGATAGACTCAGTTCCTTAATGCAGTTTAGCGTGGAAGTTGTTTGCATCCCTCAACATACCAGTAAAGTTTGGTAACCCTACTTTTGTTTGAGGAAGCCATGTTCTTTCCTTTTCATCAAGACTTATCCTATAGAATAAATGAAGTTGTCTTGATTAATGTTGTGAGCAACATACCTGGAAATATACATTAAGTAAACTGGACTAAAATTTCCAAATTCTGCCCTGGGTCACATTTTATAAATGTCATAACATGATTAAAACCCCAGTTGGGTGCATGTGAAATATCACATGTGACATCCAGAATTTTACATTTCAAGTTGAATTTTCAGATAATATTATCAGGACCTAAGGATTTGCTTGTTTTCCATCTATCAGTTCTGTCTAGACCTCTTATCATCACTCTTTGCCTCAGCACTTTAGATGTCTTTCCTGAAATATTAGTTTAGTTATGGGCATCTGACATGTACTCAGGAAGCCGGAGGCAAAATATTCATATTAATTTAACCCTTTGTTCACACTTCCCTAATTTCCTGCTTCTAGTTTATTATAGTTGGTTGCACAGTCAGCCAGATGTTTAGGCTGGATTTGGCCTTTTTGTCCACCTATCAAGTCCTTCCCAAGGACCTGGGATAGGCAGATGTTGTTGTTTGATGGTGCTAAAGGTATCGTTGCAGGATGGAGGCTGTTCCAAGTTAAAACTGCCTTTTGCAATTGACTGGTAGTGATGTTGTCAATACCGATGGTATTCAAGTGGTACTCCAGATGTTTTGGGATTGCACCCAAGGTGCCAGAACGATTGGTACCATCTTTGCTTTCTTTTGCCACAATCCTTCTATTTCTATTTGCAGGTCTTTATATTTGGTGATTTTCTCCAGTTCTTTTTCTTCTGTTCTGTTGTCTCCAGTGGTTCATGGATCTCATTAAAGCACAACAAAACACAACAAACCATATTATTGCTCATTATGGTGGATAAAATGAGCCCCAAAATCTTTGGTTCAAGACCTTTAATGTCTTATCGGGCCTCCAAAAGTTCCATGGCCTTGAAGTACCTTCTAAACTAAGTTTGGTACAAATATCGCCATATTGCATTATTCCATTTTAACAATTAAGCTGCTGTTCTCTTTCTTCCCCTCCTACTCTCTCTCCCACCCTCTGGTGCAACTGATGCAGACTGAGTAGAAGTTATTTAATCACTGGAATCATGGCTTAATTTGAGATGGAGGACAGAGAAGCTTCTTTGATATTAGGATGAGGAATGAATTATATGCATATTCATTGGGTCATCTGCTTGTTTTATAATACAGAGCAATAGATTTTTAAGATATTCTTCCCTAGAGACAAAAAAAGTGCTCATTTCATAAATAATTATCTTAAACTGGTAACCAAGGAGGAACAGCCAGATGAAGTTGCTATGGAGATCTGGGGAGGGGGGTGGATTGGTTCCTGCTCAGATACACTTGAACAGCTAATATAGCCAGTCACAGATGTACAAATTTAGCTGTATACAAATGAAAATAAAGATAGGGAAATTAAGCTCATTTAACCTGAGGGAAGAAATTAAAAAAAAATGCAATTCCTTGGAAGCCTCAACTTCAGTGGAACGAATGCATCTGTGGTTTCTTCAAGCATTCTGGTTTCAGATCAGGCAGATAATCTTCTCAGTGATTTGGTTCCTAGTCAGCCTAAAAAAGAGAGTATGGCAAAGCAATGCATTTACTCCAAAACAATTCATAGTGTTGTTGATTCAAAAATAGCAGAACTAGGATAACTTGTCCTTAATCTTAGTGCTTCCCCATAAATGGTGTAAGTTTCTAAGAAGAACATCTTCCTTACTCTTTTGATTATGATGAAATAAATAGCTTATAGCCATGGTACCAGGCTACCTTCTCCAGCAATGAAATCCTATACCGCTGCTACGAAACATCTCTGTGGTAAAGCATTCTGGGAAATGTCAAATTTCTCAATCAGTTCATGGTAGGTGCTGGTCTGACCTTCCTGCTTCACCATCACCCCTTCAGTTAAAGGAAAGTATGTTTTTTCCCCCTTGCTATAAGTCTGCAAACCTCAGTGATTCCTACACTTCCATATTGCCTCTGAATAGTGCCCATTCACAGAAGTAACTATTTCAGTATTAGATTATTAAAATGTGAAACCCGTTTCAGTAGAAGTTTTTCAGTGCAGGAACTCATCAGATTCTAAATTTCCCAGGCTGGTCGTTGTTTATCTTTGATTGCTTAATAATACAGAGAAACAATTGAGTTTTGTCTAGGTTTGCAAAATTTGCCTTGTATGAAGGATTAGGGTTCCTGTACATTCGTGATATTGTCTGCTTTGGAATTGTTGCTGCTCCACAAATGCTTTCATGTTTCTACCTTCAGAATTGCTTCCTTTGGATCATTATAGAAATCTCCTTTAGCATCCATCCACTTCTGAACTAACAGGAAAAAAAAGATGTTGCAGTTTTGAGGAAACTAATAAACCTGTGACAGATGTTCCAAATGAAGGAAATCAATATTACAGTGTGTGCTGTAGTGTAAATAAGAGGAGTTAAAGGACTTGAAACAGCTGTTGAGAGAAGGAAAAAAAGTGAAGACTGCCTGACTCATGACCAGTTAACTCTTAGTTCTTGCAGCTTCCACTTGGCTGAGGTATTGCTTAAGATGATGGGAAAACTGAGTAGAAAAATTGATTTGACCAACTATGGCTATGAACATGGAAAGCAGACAATTACTGCACAAACTATTCTATAATTTGCTAAACTACGGGGCCATTTTTATTGTTGAATGGATGCCAGTTCCCTGTGAGTTATTCAGCTGCATTGGTATTCAGGAACTCATATGGAAATGGCCCCTGATTTGGCTATGCCCATGCCAGCTGACATGACAGAAATAGGAAATCTTTAAATTAACAATGAGCGTAATGTCAGTTGTAGTACTTCTTGTATGGACAAATTGTAAACTTCAAAAGGGCTGTACATTTGCTATCGAACTCATGACTAAGGTGAAATTAAAAACAAGGACAACTGGGTTTGCTTTGAGTTTTATCAGCATGGAAATATGTAACTTTTGGAAATGTGTAGCTTTTGCAAGGTTGGCATTGAGACCCATGGCATTTCAGGATATCAGTTTCAAGTCACTGAAAGATTATCATCAGCTCTGAAGACTGAACATCTGCTAGAACCCACTTATTTCAGCTGGCTGCTTTTAGAATCTGCATCTGCCTTAATTTCTATTTTTGAGGGATTTAAGATCAGTTTTGGCAATATATATTTTTGATCTGAGATTCTTATGGGCTGTGCAGCATCTTTGGAAAAAATATTTTCTATAAATATTCTACATTATGTTTTACCTGAAAGACAATACACACACACACACACACGTGAATCTCTAGCTCCATCTGTGTACTTAAAATAATGTAAAAAGAGTCTTGTAGGTTCCTGTTGTTTGTCGGCCTTGTGAAACCAGCTGCCTGTTTCGCTCTCAAACTCAACCCACCGTTTGTCCTTGTTGCTTGTTTTGGCTACAGCAGCAACCAGCTTTAGCTTTATCCCAAGCGAGTGATAGGGCCACATTCCCTTGTTGTTGAGACTTCTTAACAACTGGTATCCTGGGGAGCTATTCAACCGTTCGTAGAGTTATCCTTCATAATTTATTTAATCCCTTTTCAAACGCCATGAATCATCCTTGCATCCTGGGGGCAGTTAATTCCATCAATCCATTCAACTTGGCGTGGGGAAAAAATGGCTTTATTTGCACAAGCTAATGTATCACTGGACAAATTTACCAGATGACTCCATGTTCCATTATTTCATATAAGGTAGGGGGAGGGAGAAAACATTTGTTCATATATATAGTAGGTAATAGATTCATGACATAGGGCCTGGCTCCTTGAGGGTAGGTTGGTTGGTTGATTTCCACCCATCTGGTGAGGTAAGCAGAATGGGATTGCCTCTGGTCCCATCAATCAAATAATGTCATCTTAGGGGACCCAGGAAGTGGGCCTTCTCAGTGGTGGCATCTGCCCTTTGGAATGACATCCCACCATAGTGAGATCCCAGAGACCTGTACCATTCCCCCAAGAATAAGAAAGTCATTCTTTCCATAAACTGTTAAAAACTTGATTGTTCTCCCGGGATAGGATGTTCTCGTGATTTTACAGCCTTTGCATTTTTTGATATGGAGTTGGTCTTCTGTATTCTTTTTTTGGTCTAGGTTGTTTTCCTTCAACTGTAAGATGCCCACAGTCGTTGAGGAATTGGGCATTAAATCAATAAATTGACCTATCAGCTATCATCTAGCCAGCTAGCTATCCCAAACTAGATATTTATTTACTAAGCTTTACCACTCTCATATTTTTCCTAAATGGAAAGTAGTGTTTAGCAAATATTTTCCATTAAAAATCAGCAATGAATCCTTCTGTCATCCTTGTGGATGCTGTCAGTTATAATAAATCAGAACAGCCAACTGTGTCCTTAGAAAGTCCCACTGCATTAGCCTGGTGTCTCTAATGGTGTGCAAAGAATTCCATGCTTGGTGCAGCTTTTCATTATTGCTTACATCACCATTTGGCCAAGTTGCAACTTGGCCGACGAGAGCTAATGTATTAAAAAGTAAAGGCAAAATAATGGACGTGTATTTGGTGTCTCAGTTTTACTTTGCAAAGTTGCAACAGTCACCAAAAAGAAAAATGTTTTCTTGATTGTTCCCATTCTTCAGATCATGGAAGATCTTGCTCTGCATGATTAATGAAGGAAAGTACCAAAACTAGTTTTCTCAAAAAAGTTTTCACCAAGAGGGAATGTGCTAGAATTTCAGCTGCTGCTGTCCTGTCAAACCATATTTGTGGACCAGTGCTATGATTTTTATTATCCTCTTCCCATTTCCCAACATTTATTTGTCTTGCATTTTTGCTGCTGTCCCAGGAAAGGAGATGAAGAAACTCTGGTGGAGATGAACAGAGGGAAGAAGTTGGTGTGATAAACAGGTGAGAACATGCATGCTATGATTTGGGTATCTCTTGGGTATCTTGGTATGGTTAAGGCACCAGGCTAGAAACCGGGAGACCCTGCCTTAGGGATAAAGCCAGCTGGGTGATCTTTGGGTCAGTCACTCTCTCTCAGCCCCAGGAAGCAGGCAATGGGAAACCACTTCTGAAATCTTGCCAAGAAAACTTCAGGGACTTGTCCAGGCAGTCATCAGGAGTCAGCCCTGATGTGAAAGTACCGAATAAATAAAGCATTCTTACAGTATATACTTCCATTCATTCCCCATCATTCTCTTTGACTTAAGAAAATAAAATGCTAATCAGTTCTCACACAGATTTTTTTTAAAAAAAGATTGAGTTGTATCATTTCAGATTTTAGATGACTCATCTTTTAATATTTCTCTGTAAACTGTTTCCCAGGGTCTGTTAGATAACGTGGAATCAGTAGCTATCTGGAGTGACAAAGCTTCTCACACAAGTTGAAATTAAAATATCAGAACTGAAAGAATCATGAGGACCATCTAATCTAAACTGTCCTTGAGGTAGGAAATCCAAAGCTAGACTGTCCTCCATGAAGACTTCCAGCAGAAGCAGGCCCATATCTCCTTTCAGGGAATTGATCCTCTGTTGGCATGCTCTTCCCTGTAAACCATTTATTTTAATATGTATTTCAATTTTACTCTAACTTTACCCCATTCAATCTGGTCAAGGCCTCTGGGGTAGTAGAGAACAAGTCTTTTTCCACTCTTGTGTGTTGGGCCAAGCAGTTGAAGAAAGCTAACATTTTCCTCCTTCAGTGTTTAATATGACTTGCTGTTCCCATCATTCTGATCATCTTTTCTTCTTCACTAGTGAATCTGTCACAGTAAAGAAACTATATACATCATATATCCTATCTATATGCACCTCAATAATACTAGGGAACTATATTCTGTTTCCACCACCACCACCACCACCAATTCTTATTCATTCTGATGAAGAAGAACTCAATTTGGCAATTTCTTTAGCAATATCTTAAAGAAGAAGAGAATTCTGGTGAAATTCTCATTTAGTTATAAAATAGCCAAGGGTGTATAAGTGCATGAGAGAGAAAAAGAAAAAGAAAAAAAAATCTTACATTTCATCGTATAATCTTCTCTCCAGTGGCCTGCAGTCTCCCAGCTTCCGGCTCTTCCATCTTCAGATCCCAAGAGCAGACATCAGGAAGTGCTTCGGTCACTATAACAGTGAAAAAGGGGAGGAGGTGTGTTTTTCAGAAATTGTTGGAAGTCCCTCCTCCTTCTGAAGAAATGTGGAGAAATCATCCACTCAATTTCTCTTGCCGCAAATTTGATGGGAGATTTCTGAAAGGCCCCAAGAGACCAGCTGTGCTCCGTAGTCTATAGATTCTGGAACTGGACCTAGGGCCTCAAGAATTCCAGGTCCTTCTCAACTTTTTCCACTTTCTTTTGCTTTCGCCTGGTTGAAAATGAAACCGAGCATCTAACTGTAGGCAACTCCCTAGCGCTGAGCCTTCCTTTATCATCATAATTCTATGCAAGAGGAATCGTTTGCAGTCACGCCAGAAATTTTGGCAGAACATTTTGTCCTAGGAAAAAAGTTGACTTTATCTTTTATTGTGCTCTGACATGCTTGTTCAGACTGTGGCAGCACTGCTCACAATGCTTGCCTATCATCACGCCTGCCTGTCTTTTGGCACAATTATTAAATAATAGAAGCTAATGAAAATATGAAAATGAGTTAAATTGATGGCTAACTTCAGTGCAGAAGCAGTCAGACCTTGTTAGTTCAATGGCAGGTGACTGAACAAAAGGACAAAACCCATAAAACTCTGTGGGGAACCCTAAGCATCATCAGCATTTGTGAGGTTTTTACTGTGAACATTTGTAGCTAACTCTGTATTGGATTATTAAACTGGAGAAGCAATCCCCTGAAATTTCAGCTCTGGATTTCTTGGTGTGCGTTTGCAGTAACAATATTTTTGCATGTAACAAGGACATCTCTGAGTGCATACAAGGGCAGGAAAACTTTTCATGCATCTCTGAATAAGCAGAAGAGGAATAAAACTCCACATTCGTGACAGGTATACATTCAGAAGACCAACTGCATGCTTTTGTAATTTGGTGATCTAATAACAAAATGATTAGTAGTAATAATCTACTAATCTAACTCCCAGGTCAGTGCAGATTTTAAGAGGCAAGATGCCAGTTTTCTGGAGAGAGTTAAATTCATCGTTAGCTTTCCTCCAGCTAAAACATGTCCAAAACTTTCCAAAACAGTCTATTCCAGTATTGAATAACTCTTGCCCTTGAAGAATATTTCTTCAAAATCTGTTCCCTTTTGATTTCCATTTATTCACTCTAGTCTTCTCCTTGGAGCAACAGAGAACAATTGTGCCCATCTTTTGCATGTTAGCTTTTCAGATGAGGTACGCTAAATCTTCTGTTCTTTTGGTTGAATTTACCCAGCTTTTTTGAGCTGTTGATAGAATTGGTTTCCCGACTCCAACATTCTGCTAAGGCATCTGTAAATTAAATATACAGATGGTTGGGGAAAATATTAAATTCCCAACCAGCAGTGTATATATTTTCCTTTCTGGTGCATCTGATGAAGAAGGGTACTCTACAAAACTATATCATACTGTAAAGTTGTAATGGAGAGAGGAACAGACAGACACCCCTATGCAAACTTTCTTATGGAAAGATGTCTGCTATAAAGCCATTTCTAGTCAACAGTGTCATATTTCATCTATGGATTAAGTATGAATTATCCTGCATGTATGCTTTGGTTACCCTCAGACAATGCTTCCCATTCTGGAGCTTTCCAGATGCATTAAAGTACAGCTTCTCAGCAACCTTTAGTCATAGTCTCTGAAATTATGGGAAATGGAGTCCAATATATCTAAATGAATTAGATATACTCTTAAAAATGCACTAGAAAAATCATTCTTATCAGAGATTTGTTTCAGGTGGTTAGCCCACCCTACAGCCTTCTCTTTTTGATAATTTCCATCAACAGTGAGGAAGAACCCCATCCCCAAAGACCCTACATAAGGTACTTCTGTATAGTTGAGGGCTTTTCTGCCCGCCAAGTTCTTCAGAAGCTCTGTGAATTTAAATCAGATCAGCACAAAGTTGGAAGCGTTCAAATAGAGCACAAAAGTGTTCATTTAAACAGGAAGATGTACATCAGTGATGGCTTCTGCTAAAAGCGTATGACATCAGGGCTCTCTTTATAGATTTACTAACTCAGAAATCTGGAGCAGAAAGTCCAGAGAGAGATATTCAAATGAATATCAATGTCTACTAGAATAATCTTTATCTCCTCTGTAAAATAAATGTTCGTTATATAGAATAGGGGGTGATTTCCTGGCAGACAATAAAAGAGGAAAGTAGAAAGTGGGTAAATGCTGGTAGATCTCCTTGATTCCATGGAACTCTCCTTGGTTCATTACCAGTTAATAATAAAAACATTTTCATTAATATTGATTTTAGGTACCAATGATGTTTTTCCCAACTCACCTTGGATTAATACAGAAATAAATGTGTTTTGCCCCAAAATGGAGGCAGGGGAAATAAAATGGCAATATGAAATGGCCCCAATATCCTGGATTTAATCCAGAAAGCAATCCAATGAGGAAAAGAACCAATGAAAAATAGGCTTTCTGATTGCCTTCAAAAGTTTTGGATCATTGCCTGTAAACTCCAGCAAATGTGCCCAACTGTAAGAGATTCTGAGAGTTGGAGACTCAGATATCTGGAGGACATCAATTTGTCTGTAAAGTGGCCTGCTCAAGCCCACCCGCTGAAGTGAAAGGACAAGCTGGCTTTGAAAGAAGATGCTTTATAGCTCATACTTCATGTAGAACCTCAACTACAAAAACATTTCTGCCTTTATTGTAATCCATGTAAGGTTCCCACAAAGCCAACAGATGTTTTGGAAGCATCAGAATCTTCAAGCCTGCTTTATTTTCTTGAAGTATTTTTGATCAAAATTATTTTGAGCTTCCTTCCCTGAGGAATTTCAGTCCTTTTAATGTACTCTTTACTTCCTTCAAAAGTCTTCAGGGGGGTTGCTTGATTCAGAATGAATATGCAGAGTCTGAAAGCAGGAACAGATTGGCCCAGTCTCTATCTACACTCTCTGTAAGCCATCTGAAGGTCACCTGAAAAGGGCTCTGTTCTGCAGAACATCAGAAATACAGCATCATCTGCAGGACAGGTCAAAATGGGCAAGATGGTGGACAGGGCAACATAATCCCAGTTCCACCCCTTTTGTATGTGCATCAATGTTGAACACACACATACAAAGACGTGGGGCATCAATCATGCTGCTGTCACCACAGTCCTGTCTATTTTGGCTCAGTTGGCCCCTTGGACACTGCTGCAGGATAACTTTCTTTCTGAAATCAACCCAGCGTTGTGCAATGACATTACATTTTTCTGACTTTGCATTTTTATGCATTTCTCCTCCATTTCCATGTCAGTTGTTTCTAAGGGTATAGGGCAACTGCTCTCATTACATAGTCACTTTAACATTTCCCAACATTGTGCGCAAATGTTAGAGGTGGGGGAAAGTACCTTTTCATGAATATTTATTTATATGTCTCTTTGGTCTTGCCTGAATGGTTCTGCTTGCAGCTGAGGACTCTTCCTACAGGTAAAAGTGCTGTGTGGAAATGCATAATTAGATCAGCAAACATTAACCGTGTCCTTCAAATTCTGAATAGTGATCAAGAAGGAATGGAAATCAGCAGTTCATTCAATGTAATTTGGTGTGTCTTTAAAAACTGCAACAAAAAACAAAAGCACACCTCTTATGTACACCCAAATATTATACTTCAAAGAATTTACTAACCTTCTTTGTTTCTGTTCATCCTATGGAATTTCTTAAGCCAATCTATTCAGCCTGGTGGCTCCCAACTGCTTAAAGACACAGGCAACAGAGTAAGACCATCCATTGTCAGTTGATGGGTCAAGGAATAGAATATGCTGAACATTAATAAAATGAAATAAATTAAAATTATTCCGAACAGATTTTTTTTTTTTTGAGAGAGAGAGAATTGTAACACATTAAAAATCTCAGTAAGAGCACAGATTTCAGGGAAATGAAGATCAGCACCCCTCTAATTTGAATAGTTAATTTGATTCACATCGTGGATCCCATCGGATTAGTAGTCCGAATTCAATATCCATTCTATCCATCCAAGGTTTCTTATGTGCCAGAGGAAACAGCTTCATTTCAGTTATACTGAAGTTTTCTGATGTGAAGGTTGTCATTCAATTGTTATATGAACCCAGGCTTGGTTTAATTACATATTGTAATCCATGGAGGATATTCAGTCTAAATTTCTAAGAGTTATCCTGTTGATTCTGTATTGTTTCTTAAATGCATCTGTAAGTTTGAAATCCAGGTTAGTTTCAACTGAGGTCCATTTTATTGATCTACCACCTTAATTATGGTCTTGCTAATATTTTCTTCATGGTCCTTGGTGTGCCTTGCCTTTTAGTATATTTTTCATTTCTCTTGGTGGACAGAAGATGATGATAGCTTGGTTCATTGTAGGTTTATCAGTTTTTGTTTCTCCTGAGCTTGAATGGGAGAATGCTGACTTTGGTGCAATATATAATATTATATGAGCTCCAGAAAACATGGAGTGTGACTTTATTTTAGTCTCCATCCAGAATATTCAATGATTGCTTAACCTTATATAAGCAAAATATAGGTGATCCTTTCCTCTAACAAATGGCAAAAGATTTACCATATGTGCTACTGGACAGAAAGTACTTGAACCTACCAGTTTGGGTGGGATACAGAAACAATGTCTTCTCCTATTTCCAGTTGTGTACAGAGCCTTGTTTTTTTAATAGAGTACTTCTCTTAGACTGAAGTTGAGAGCAGAGGAATCTCACAGTATTTCCACCTTGTCAGATCAATATGACCCCAAATTATGCACTATTGCCATGTCAATACATCAATGGCTATTTAAAGAACATTAGCTGGATTATTATTGTAAAATTTTGGTTTTAAGCTTATGTATTTGCCGATATTGTAACTTTGCTATCTTTTCACAGATCATAAATAATAGATGGGTTATTATTAGAATTGTTACGGTAAATCTGAGTCAATGATATGAACCAAGCCCAACACTGAGGTGACTTGGAGGCGTCCGGGTTGATTGAGTAGTTTCTGTCAACCTTATTTTTCCAAAACCTAATGGGCTTTGAATCAAATCTCTGAATCAGAACTTTGCATAGTTATCCTAGCATTTACCGGATGCCAAAAACTAATGAGATAGGGCCAGATTAAAAGAGATAAGGGTTAAATTGTAGCTAGAACCAGGATGGGCACCCAGAAGATAATGAGCAACTTTTTGCTCTCCTCAAAGTCCCCTGTCCATGAAGGTCAAAAATTGGTGACATAGGCCCCTGTCATACATAGGCAGAAATCCCACAAGAACACCCCCTTCAAAATAGCTTTAATTCCATGCATGTCAT